CGAAGGGATAACGACGTTAGAAGCATGCCGAACTAGTGCCATTCGGTCGTAGCGCGAACGGGCGAAATGAAAATGGGTCCAGATGCGAAAAACACGATTTGGATCTTATGAGAAGGTTCAAACGATAAGGACCAGATGAGAATGAGTCGAAATGTGCGAGGTTCAAATGCGAATGGGACGTTTTGAGATACACCCGTTTTAACCATATTAAACTGTGTTTGACCCTCTAGTCAATTTGTACTGAAGTGACAGTAACTAGAACGGCTCCGAGCTTTCCAGCACTAGTTTGACTCGGTCCGGCATTTTATTAGACGGGCCAGAATTTTGATGACACATTACCAAATATGTTAAGCTCGATACTTCATAAAAATAACGCAATATACTTCAAATTCCAAATCCTTATAGCAGACGATGCACAATTAATCAAAATAAAAACGCACCCGCCACTGACCTTTCTCGCTCATGTTGGTCCGGCCGCTTGACGGCATCACTTAACACCGTTACACCAATTTCTACGCTAAATCTAGTGAGAAAATTGTTGTCGCGTGACCTGACGCAATGAGACGTCAAATCACGTGACGTGTAAAATATTTTTTCATAAAAAGATAAAATGCATAAGCAATCCATCTCATTGCTTTTACTGCTCGTATGGAAGAGTCCAATTGAACAAATATACCGCATTGTTATTCATCAATATCCTCATTCATAACAAATTCAGGGACCTAAAAAGTGAGTCAAGAGAGAGTATCCTCGACATCAAACGTGTGCCTATCGTAAGCGATGAGATTGAGGATGTCAGCGCTGCTGTCTGACCTTCCACAATACTGATTTATCAATAACGCTACACAGCGCTCCCACACTTGATCAGCTTCCAGACTTGAGCTCAAAAGCCCGGAACCATTCTAGTTACAGTCACTTCAGTACAAATTGAATAGAGGGTCAAATACAGTTTACTACGGTTAAAACTGTATAAGGTTACGAACCCAAAATTTATTTTCTTGTGTTTGCCCTTTGCTCAAGTTTTTCCTGTCAAACAACATTCCCCACCCGGAAAAGTCTTCCGCCACTAAAGTACGACAAGCACGTGAGACGTTTAAGAACGATCGTTTTCTGAAAATACTCTTCCCTATCTCGCCCGGCTAGCTCAGTCGGTAGAGCACGAGACTCTTAATCTCGGGGTCGTGGGTTCGAGCCCCACGTTGGGCGTCAATTTTTTATTTCATTTTTTTTGCAATCATGGTGCAAATTATAAAACAGTGATGGCGCAGACAAGCTGGTGTAGATTTACCTTTCTCTTGAAAAACTTGAGACTTTGTGGAGAACGAGAAGTATCCAAGGTGGAAGAAAAAAGAACAAAATGAGAGGAGGCAACGGCGTAATTAAGATGTTGCTTCTTGTCATTCTGTTTCGTTCTCTTCCGTTAATCTTTTATGCTGTCAGAAGACTACCCAATAAATATTTTGTTATAGTGAATACGTGCAATAAACATCAACCCGAAATCCTCCGTTCATTTGCCGTGTGAACCCGAACGCCTTTAGATACAGGTACCTATAGCTAAGGGACCTAAGCTACAGGTCCTTTAGGCAGCCCGTGTGGATGGGGTATTAGTCTGCCTCAAGGGGCGACTAGCCTCTCCCTGGGTTCTGCAGCGCGAGCTTTCGCTCCACGTGCTCCGAGCTGGTGTGCTCTAGGCCCAAGGTCGGGCAGTATCGCGATACAAATGTATCGCGATAGTATTTCAGAAATACATTTCGTATCTGTATTTCTGTATCGCGATACATTTTTTGCACCAGTATCTGTGTTTCTGTATATTTCAGAAATACATTTCGTACCTGTATTTCTGTATCGCGATATATTTTTTTTCACCAGTATCTGTGTTTCTGTATTGAAATACATTTTGAATGTTTCTTTGTATCGCGATACATTCAGTGTGAAATGTATTTCGTTACATTTCTTGAAAAATACTCCCCCCACTCCTCCTCCCCCCCCCCCCCCCCCCCCCCAAAAAAGAAAAAAAATCCGATCGCATTTTTTTTATTTTTTACTTTTGAGGGCATTAGGGTCAAGGAGATGCTGGGGCATTGTTACCATGCATGTTGACCAAGGTTCCTTCCGATTCTCCTAACTATTTTTCTATGCGTCCTCCTCTCTCTTCTGAGAAGTGTTGCGTAGTCGGGGACTCAAACCAGGTGGCGTGCCAGGAGTGGAGTCAGAGCATCTTCTGCCGCAGGTCCTTATGTAGGGATTTCTTGAGTCATTGTTTGGTGGCATTCAATGCCCGCGGCTAACCGTCTCTCTCGCCTTAGCGTACACAGTACACCCAGCCGGCAAAGCTGAGTCACAGTCTGTTGCAGCACGAGTCTGGCAGTGGTTGACTTGAAATAGTATAGGATGACTCACGCACTGAAGTTCAACACATATTCGAATGCGTCTGCGACTGCGCCCGTAATATTGCACGGCTCAAGGGTACGTCATCAGCCGACTTGAACGTGACCCGCTGCTCTGGTGATCCGAAACCCAGAAAGGAGGCCAGACGTGACCTCGCTGTGCCAACCCAGACTTTGTACACCTGCAAACTCGTCTCGGGCGCGCTGTTCCTCGGAGAGCTCGCACCTGTGCCGGCAATATCAGGCCGCAATTCACGAGGTCTCTGTTTGGATGATGCTAGGCGAAACTTGAGGACTTCAATCTATGCGTCGGTGGCGGAGGGTCGGCAGGAAGGACCTTCACAACAGGGATGCCACCGTATCGGTTTTTCAACCGTAACAGAAGATAAGACATGTGTTCCAGAATGCTTCAGGTGGGGTCCACTATTCTCGAAAATTCCAAATGACACTGCCTGCACCATCTTCAACGACGTAACCTACAACGAAAGTACGTATTGTCCTTTCATACAGCAGCGTGGTAAAGTTTCATGCTCAAGGCCACCCCTACGGATTAAGAGCAGCAGTTCATTCCACCTTAACGTCATGTGATCGATGTTGACAGGGGCGTCCTTATTAGACAGGGGCGTGGTGACGTTTTGATGGGATTTAGGATGACATATAATTTATTTAGAGGTCGAAGTCTTTTCGCATCCCTCGGCAAACAGACAGGATGTCAGGGAAGGGACCGCGGTCAGTCCTTGATGGAACGTTTCTTTTGAGCCTATTGAAGACTCCTCGTCGTCCGAAACCATTACCTACAATGCAAAGTGCCAAGCCTAGGGGAAAATAATTTCGAGATCAAAAACTTCCACTTCCAACTTCAAGTTTCATTTTATTTGGCGTCTCAAACAAATTCGAAAAATGTATTGCAGTATCAGTATTTCTGTATTTGTATCTCTGCCCTCCCAAACATGTATTCCTGTGTTTGTATTTTCAGATACTTTTTGCCTGTATTTAAAATGTATTTCCGATGCGTATCGCGATACACTTTTACAGATATATTTCAGTATCAGTATTTTAGCTGCTATTTAAGTGTATGCCAGTACTTGTATTTCCAAATACATTTCTGAGTATTTCTGCCCAACCCTGGCTCTAGCCCACTTGGCGGCCACCGACCCCCCCCCCCCCTCCCTTCCTCCCCATTCCCCCTCCAACCCCCCCCCCCCCCCCCCCCCCACCACCACCACCACCACCATAGGGCTCTAAACTCGTCAAAGTTGGGGCCGAAGTTCACGGAGCGCACCGATTGGACTATGACGACGATGACTTTGCGCTTTTGTCGCCGGCGTCCAATCGGCGAGCTCCGCGAACTTTCAGCTACAACTGTGTGTTTGACGGGTTCAGGGCCCCAATAAAACCTAGCTTCCCTGGTCGAGACAGTGCCCGCGCTCGCTTTTGCTCGTGGTCATATATTTTCTCTGAAAATGGTCCATTGGAGACAAAAGAACATACTTTCCTACAGGCCGCAGTGCGGGAAGTTTACTCCGCTCATCGAAAGCTAATTTCTGTATTGAACGGCCAAAATTCAGTTTGTTGTTCGTTACGCAAATGGAACTGAGCCAATCAGCCCTCTCTTGCCTTTTTGGCAGACTTGTACAGTGTAGTACATATTACAAGTAATAAAATCACGAGGAACTAATTTGTCGTTGCTCAGCAAAAGCGCGGCGCTAATCTGATTACTTATTTTAAAACACCGAGAAGGAAGACATACGCCACTGTCCTCCACATAAAGAGGTTGTCCGCCTCCTGTTCTCCCCGTGTTTCCTCCTTTAGATCATTCGCATTATTAGGACCTTACCAAGTCATAATGTCATGTGGTGAATACCGTAGATTACACCATCTGCGCAAGCTCAATACTTCGTGTTTCTCTTGCAGTTTTTTTTTTCTCTCGCTTAATTTACGATTTGCGGGATTTCGTGGGAATGAAATTTCGCGATCGGGAGTGGTACACACTGCAGTCGGCAGCGTGATTTTGTTTCGTGGCATTTTTTAGTTTTGACATTCGTAACAGTTAGGATCTCGCCAAATCAAGCACTAGCTTGTAGTACTTCACTGCAACATAAAGTTGTCTCGTGCTGTGGCAGGAAAAAGAGAGCGCCCAACGTGGGGCTCGAAGCCACGACGCCGACATGAAGAGTCTCGTGGTCCACCGACTGAGCTACCCGGGCGTCGTGAAAAATCGTGAGAGCGATGTTACAAAAAACTTGTTTCGTTTTTTTTTTTTTTTTTTTTTTTTTTTTGATGGAGGGTGGGTGTTTGATACCAGCAGCTAAACCAATCACGCAGAAAAAAAAAAAAAAAACGCAGGATCGCGGCACGATCATTTCGCGTGCATGGTTGAATCGGTGATAGCTAAGGCAGAAAGACGACGATCGCCGTGAGGACGCACTATTAGAGAGTTTTAGTAGATCGTTCCCATGGACTCCGATAACGATACCCGATACTCCGCCACCGCCTCCCTTGCGCATGCATAGTATCGTTATCGGGGCTATCGGAGGTATCGGAACGATCTACTAAAACTCTCTATTGACGCCGCTTGATCGTCTTGATAGGATCGTTGGCTGTGTCTCTTACTTGGTGTAGAGGGAGAAGTTGACGAGTCCGTAGCCACTGCGGAAGGCCTTGAGCTTGACGGGGCAGTGGTCGTGGGCGCGGCAGCAGAGGTCGACGGCCACCTGCGAGCCCAGGTCCTCGTAGGAGGACGCGATGTCCCCCAGGCCGCACCACTTGGTGCCTGTACGAGACGGAAGGACAACGGGGTTCTCGGGGGACGTTTGGACAGGGAGTCGAAGGGGCAGAAACGGAGAGGCACGGAACACTCCCGATTTCGGATAGGTATCTGTGCTTCACGCATCTCGGGTGGAAGTTGATTTATATTTGAGTATAGATCAGAGATTGATGTCTTGTTTTTTTCATCTTTCCTCTAGAAAAAAAGGCTTTCTTTCTATTGAATGTGTAGTGAAAGTTACTAGACTGCACATGGTCTGCCTTTTGCTTGTCTTGTGAGCACTGGGCGAGTACTAACGGATGATTGTCCTGCCCAGTGGTTATATATAAAAAGCTTCGCGAACCTTGAGCTTACCGCAAATGAGACTTTGGTTCAGTGTCTGGTGCTCTATCGTAGCCATTATTCGTTTTTTTTCTTTGTTTCTTTTTTCATTCTCGAGCTAGGTGAGACAGCTAATGCGAACAACGAAAAGAAATGCAATTAAAATAACGGAAATTCCACCAGTCAATAATTTAAAAGTACCCAATACTCCTGCAAAAAAAAGCCCGCCCACGCACACACCCATGCACGCATACACACACACCCCCCGCGAACAGACGCATACACAAACACGCGCTTACACACATACACAAGCGCGCGCAAGCGTACACACGGGTACTTGCACACACGCACACAGGTACACGCGTACTCTCACACGCACAGACACGCGCAAGCACGAACACACAGACACGCACGCGCCCACACATACACGCGTGCACACGTACATACACGCACGGGCACGCACGCACGCATACGTACACGGACACACGTACGCATACATTCGTACGCCCACATACACGCGCACGGACACGTACGCGCGTGCACACACTGATACGCATGCGCACACACACGGGCACACGTACGTATACATACGTACGCACGCGCGAACACGGACACACGTAGGGACGAACGCGCGCGAACACACACACTACCTAAGCGTTTATGACGTGCATGAAAGCAGTCAAAATAACTATAAAACAAAAAGACTAGCTTGGGCCACATAAACCTATTTGCTTTAGATCCGCGCTCGTTCTGCCTTGGAAAAAAAAAAAAGATATATATATATATATATATATATATATATATATATATATATATATATATGTATATAAAGTACAGTTTAACGGTGAGTCGACGCGCGAGTAAAGGAGCCAGACAACCTTGAAAATAATTCCGAGGCTGGAAGCTCGAAATTTGAAGAATCCCGACTTAAAGGTCAACCACCCAGGAAAAAACTACAAACCGCACATACCTTCAAAAAAAAAAAAAGAAAAAAAAAGTGAGAGGTTTGACGAAAGTTTTTTTCCGGAAACGTACCTCAAAGCCTGGGGTTCTGTCCAAGGTCACAACAGGACGGAAAGGTAGGAAGCGACCCCTGCCCCTCCTCCTTATTGCATCGCCCTCGCAAACCTCGCTCTCCGCCTGGCTTTTACCTTGAGGCCTTGACCTTGCGCCGGTCCAGTCAGCCACGTTACAAGCCACCTGGCTTCCTTCCGACCCACACTGCTGCTGTCTCTTTTTTTCCGGCAACCTTCCACTTTTCCTTCTGCGCGCAGCGAATGACCCGGCTGTTTTAGCCTTAGGGGGAGATTAGCCCCCGAGTTTGAGGTATTAGGTAATACGCAGCTTTCCAGGATCATTGTTCGCGTTGGGCCCTCGCTGTAAGCCAGCAGCTAATCCAGCAATACCTAAGCCAAGATCGAAAGCCAGGTCGTGTGTTGTCTCTAGCCCGTCATTCGTAACTTTAAAAGAAATCTGAAGTTAAGCCTTTACCGTGAACTTCTAAGAACGTACGACACAGAGAGTACGTCCAGGCGCGTATGCTTTCCTCGGCAGAATAGATGTCCGATGTATGCGTTTACCTCTCCGAAGGTCACGTTAAACAAATTTTGGATACGCAAAAGAATTGGCGAATAGCAAGGAAGGCTCACGTATAGTATAGGAATGTCACTTGCTGCGCGTTCCTCAGGTAAGTTACCCATACGATCCATTCAAAAATACCTTAACTTCAAAAAAAAAAAAAAAAAACCACAAGGAGACACGGTGAAGCGCCGGTATTTTTCATGCGGTTTTCGATACCTTTATTATTATTATTATTATTATTATTATTATTATTCACAGCGAGCAACTATGGGAGGACTCTGTTTGCATTTTGAGAGCTCATCGTGTTCGTAGCTTGTTCTCGGCCTTGGTGTTACAACCTCTATCATCATGAAAGTGTCGAGTTATGACCGTTCTCCTACATACGTTGTTCCCGAGAGCGCCAGTCTGGCGAAAGAAACTGACAGTCATTCTGTAGCGGGGTCAAACATAAAAAAAGAAGAAAATAAAAAGCACCTTATGGCTTTTTTTCTGGTGTCTTTTGTTTATTTCCTTCTTTTTGTTCTTCTGTTGGCATTTTGAGTCTGCATCGTTGGTCCTGGTTTGTTTCCTGTTCTGTCACTCGGACATTTCTGCTTCAAGTTTGCAATCGGTGCAACTCTATGCTGGAGTGTGGCGATTCCTTTCCCATAAAATATTCCCGCAACATTTTTTTTTATCGAAAATTTTATTTAAGATAAGGGGTGCAATATACTAAAAATTTTAATTATTATGAAGTGGCAAATATTACCTATCAAATGGTGTTTTTTTTTTTTTGCGAGATGCCAAATCACTTTAAAAGTATTTAAAATACATGAACTTGTGTAGAGTATGTGAGATAGGCACAAGTCTGCCTCAGCCTTAATTGTCTTTATTCATTTCTGGATAAATATTGAGTCTCGAAAGCGAAAATATAGGATTAGAGTGACCAATACCGCCATGATAAGATGCACGACTCGTCATCTGCTGGTTCCTGAAAGAGCGGAACGTTCAGATAGGCCAGTTGCTGCACCAGATTCTTCCAGTGGGCTCACTCCAAGACGAACTAAACCATCTTGACATGGGGCAATGAGCGCCCCTCCCCCCCCCCCCCCCCCCCCCCCCCCCCCAAACACACATAAACACCCCTTCTAACAAACAAACTCATCGCGCGTTAAATTCTTGTTAAAAGCTACTTCAATGAAAACTCTATCTGTACAGTGCGCTCTAAACAATCTCACGCTTAACCTCACGCTAACTGCCAGCTTCAAGTATGAAACGCATGTCCTTGAAACTTGAATGACGTTTTAGGCACCACGTAGTCAAGAATTAGCGTGATTTTTTTTAACATGAAGCGTTCTTTGGCTAGGTATTCGGCACTTGTTATATGTTTCAAGCAAAGAAGCTAAGTTTAATGTCTAATAAAGAGTTCATACCCAATCTCAAGCTTGTTCGCCTTGTTTATTTATTTATTTGCTTTCTTTTAACCGAGTCCTGTTATAATTAGAGCCTAATAAGATCTCGCTCGCTGAATTTGTGACAGTCAGCATGAACTTCATGGAAGATGCGCTCTGCTTGCCCATTTATGAACACCCTGCAGATATCTCGCACAAGGCATGTTACCCCCCTCCTTCCCTTCTCACCCTTCCCTTCACCTTCCTCACCCTCAGCCCAGCCCACAGCACCCCCCCACCTCCCCCCCCTCCACCCCCACGAGGATGGTACCGACTGTACTTCGGCCCGAAATGGTTCGCTATCGGGACAATGTCTTGCGATCCACAGCTCCCATTCATATCTGCGCGTATTTTATTTACCCATAAAGCGGAACGAGTAGGTTGGGCTGTCTCGCATTACTCGATCCGTCTGGCGGCCTTCCGTTTGGCAACACCTCCCGCAATCCAAGCGAATTTCCTTACGCAATCCGTTTGGCAACATCTCTCGATGACAATAGCTCTCATTGCTGCTGCGATCAGTGTCGAAGACTCCGACGAAGCGAGACATGCCGTAGACGTCATTGTCTCGACAACGCGTGATCGAAACGCGGAAGGTAAACGAGGAAGCTGAAGCGCGAGACGGCCGAGAGAGCCAAGTCTGCGAGTGCAAGCAGATGGGACGCCGCGCGCGGTGGACGAACTACGTCACCGAACCACCCAACATGGCGGCCTTCTCGAATGGGGTGGTCACGAGGGTCCAGCATATAAATCGATTTATCCACAAAACTATAGCACCATTTATAAAAAAAAGATTTATACAGGAACCTACAATGGGGGTCCTGGCGCTTATGGCCTGAATGTCCAACAAGACTGAATGTCCAACGAGCCTGAATGTTCAATCGGTCACGTGACAGGCGAGACGGAATGTACAACGAGACGAAAGATCCAATCGAGACGGAATGTCCATCGAGTCTGAATGTCCAACGAGACGAAAGGTCCAATCGAGACGGAATGTCCAACGTGCCTGAATGTCCAACGAGACGAAAGATCCAACCGAGACGGAATGTCCAACGAGCCTGAATGTCCAACGAGTCTGAATATCCAACGGATATAGAATGAACCTTGCAAAGAATTTAGAAGACATTTCTTTGTTGAATTGTAGGATTATTGATAGTTACGGCGGTGAAAAATGCGTTCGATGAAATGGGGAACCAGACATTTCGGTGCGGAGATATCGGTACGCGATCATTTCGGTATGTGTTCGCTTCGGCACCGGGCTTTTCAGTACCGGGATTTTTGATGCACGGCTGTTTTGGTGTGCCGCTGAGCTTGTCAATCTGACGTTGCCTCTGTGAAGTCTCCAAAATTAAATTAAAATTAAGCTCGTGTATTTTGCACACATCACAAACCCCCCAAAACAATGTATTTATTGTTCGTTTTATATACCTAAATATAAAGGTGATTTCTAAAGTTAAAAAATGACGTTTAAAAGGTCACACATGCTACAAGATAAAAGACCGAACTCGTTGACCATTGACAATGTCACGCGTTTTATTTTAGAAGGGTCGTTTCTCTGGAGCGGAAACAAATGTGGGACCCACGAGAGTTTTTAGAATCGTTAATCGTGCTTATCCTCAGCCACAGTTTTTCCGTATTGTACGAATTGCTGTATTTTTCTTATTCGTGTCCCTAGTC